TTCAAGGGCCTCATCCTCGGGAAGCACCACTTCCTGCTCTACCTCCTTGTCGGCGGGATGCGCCCGCGCATTCTTGTCACGGCGCACCGCCCCGCCGCCCCGCCGCCCCCCCAACCCCTCCCTCCCGCCGCCGCCACTTGCTCCCCCCCCCCCGCCCCCGGCCGCCGCCGCCTGCCGCCGTTGCCGCCACCGTTGCCGCCGCCGTTGCCGCCGCCATTGCCGCCGCCATTGCCGCCGCCGTCGCTTCGGCGCCCTTTGGCAGGCGTGCGGCCCTGTCCCCTCCCTGCTAAGCTCCGCCCGCCGCCCGCCGCAGGTGGACGCGGACCTCAACCCGCTGCCCGTCACCGTCCGCGTGGGGACGGCCGTCGACGTCGTCGGGCTCGCGGGGCGGTGCTCGGCTAAAGCAGACCAGGCGGGCCGGCCCCGCGGCTCCTCTCTTACGGCGGCTCGACTCCTTGGTTAGGCCGAAGACGATCACGGGCTTCCAGACGCACACCACGCCCGTGCTGCTGGCCATCGGCGAGCGTGCCGAGCTCGCGACGGACGAGTACCTGCCGCTCACCTCGGTGCTCGAGGGCGTGGTCATCCTCAAAAAGAACCCAGAGTTCGAGGGGCAGTGAGGAAGCACGGCGAGGCGCGGTAAGACGCGGCGCATGCGTGGCGAGGCGCGCGGGGGGGGGGACGGGGGGGATGCCGCCCAGACGCCACACGCACACCCACAGGTGCCACCTCGCCTCGGGAGCCCCGCCGCGACTTGCCAATTCGCGCCGCCAACAGAACCGTGTCTCTGGCGTCCAACGAGCTTTTTCTGTATTGAAGAGAGTCTGACGTCTGTCATCAGTGACACGAGCGGTGTCTTCAGCAAGGCGACGTAGCCGCGACGGTGGACGATATCGGATATGTGAAGACACGGGACGATGTGGCAGGCGAGACGAGGAGTGCCTGCGGGGTGGCTAGCTCTAAGTAGAGAGTACACTTTCAGAGTGTAGTTTTAGTCCCGGTGCTTGCACTTTGAATGCCGTGGGGCTCCCCTGCCCGTGTCCGTCCCGGGCGTGGAGATGCGAGGGTCGCCCCCCCTTGCCCCACCGCTTTTTTGTGTTGTGCGCGTGGAGACGTTTACCTTACCTTAACAGTAAGGACGGTAAGGGGTAGAGCCTGACTGTTCTTCACTCGGATGCATACATACATAGAGCCTTAGATTTTTAGTCTCTCACGCCTCTCCATTGGCCACATAGAGCGCAAGTGCGGCTGGACGATCTCGAGCACAACATGCCTACGGCTAGTTCCATTTCACTGTGGCACAGCTCGCGTTACAAAACCTTGATTTTGACCATTGCGCGAAAAAGGTACATCTCGGTGCCTTCCAGAGGCAGCTGCGACCCCGCCGAGTGGACGGTAACGCACAGCAGGTGGCGCGGTGCGTTACCGTCCACTCCGCTGGGTCGCAGCTGCCTCTGCGCGTCCTGGGGATGTACCTTTGTCGCGCGCCGGAGACGACTCGACGCCGCTGAGATCGGAGATCAAGCTCTGACAGGTCGCACGTCGCTCCTTTGACGCCGACGTGACTCACCCGTGCAGATCACATCAGGACACGGTCTCGACGCGCTCGGTACGACGCCTGCGACCCGTCTCGGGTCAGGTGGCACGACGCTCATCGCGCCTACCAGCGCTGCCGTGCAGGTTGCCACGACGAGGTCGAGCACGCTTCTATACGCTCGCCGAGCCTTCCTTTCCATCCCATTTGGCAGCCTGGGAACGGTGGCGGTCAGAGGCAAAGCATACGAGGGGTGGTGGAACCACATGTCACGGCTACTGCCGGCTCGACCCCACGATAGCCTCCAGAGGCTGACTTTGAGGCACAATCATCGGACGACGTCGGCGAGTTGAGTCGCGCTCGCGGTAGCCAGATGACCTCTCATACTAGTATCATCGGCCATGGCCGCAGGAAGCGCGGGGGAGGGCGCTGGGAGCAACACGGAGCTCCGTTGGACGTTTTCAAGATTAGCGTGTCAGAGTGAAATGGAACTAGCCTACCCTCCCCTTCAACGGCCCCGTCGCGCGTCGGTCGGCCTCAGTCAGTCTGTACTATGCCGACTCCGCCGCGCACACGCGGCGCTCGAGGCCCTCTCCCGTCGCCGCACCCAGCACCGCGCCCCTCGCCAGGCCCAGTTGGATGCTTGTCGTCTAGATCCGCCGATCGGGTGCCGCCACTCTCCCACCGCACCCCGGCGCGCCCCCGTGTGCGAGAGGCACGAGCCCCTCCCACCCCTCGCGCTCCAGGGAGCCCCCCATCCCTCATGCACCGAGGCAGCACCCCCCCGATTCCCGGCGGCGGCGGCGGCGCTCGCGCGGGGGAGGGGGAGGGCGGCGGAGGCACGCGGCGTTGAACGCCGACGCGCTGCTCCGGTTCGGGCTGGCGCCGGCCGCCTCCCCCGCCGCCGCCTCCCCCGCGGCCCTCTTCGCTGGCGCGGACGCGACGTCTCCGTCTGGTCTCCGTTGGCCGGCGCCTGGCTCTTCTTTTCGGTAGGCCGAGTCGCGCCGAGGCGCCGCTCTGTCTGTCGGTCGGTGGATGGGGCGGCGGCCGCTCTGCTGACAGGGGATGAGATTGGGGGCCGTAGGTTCGCTCTTTCGCCGGTGATGGAGCGGCGGCCGCCGTATGGGTCGTGCCGCGCGAGGGTGGAGGAGGCGAGATCGAGCCGAGATCGAGTCGAGATCTAGAGATCTAGTTGAGGCCGAGTCGAGATCTAGTCGAGATCTAGCCGAGTCGAGATTTACTTGAGGGCGAGTTCTATACTTGAGATCGAGTCGAGATCTATACTTGAGATCGAGTCGAGATCTGTGGTTGAGATCGAGTCGAGACTGAGTCGAGATTGCAATCTCGCGGGCTACTGCGGCGAGCCGCAGGCCTGTGATGATCACGACAGCTCTGGTTTCTGAGTACGAGACGCTTCTTCACCAGGCCGCCGAGCAGCAGCAGCAGAGCGGCGACGACGACGAGCCGACCGGCCCAACGGCGGTGCGGCTAGAGGACGACCTGTGAGGGGAAGGGGGGGGGGGGGTCCAGTCCCGG